ATCAATAAGACTCAAGCAAGCTTTGTCGAAGGCCGTAGCATATCATATAATATCATTATGGCTTAGGAAGTCATTCGCTCGATGAGGTGTAAGAAAGGCAAGGTCAGTTAGATGATTATCAAAGTGGAGCTTGAAAAAACCTATGATAGACTCAGTTGAGATTTCATTGAGGATACCCTTCGGGACATTGGCTTCTCATATGCTCTTACTCAAGTTATCATGCATTGCATCTGTTCTGGCTCAATGCAGCTCTTGTGGAACGGAGAATCCATTAAGAGTTTGTTCCCTCGAGAGATATTCGCCAGTGCGATCTCTTTTCGTCTTCCACCTTTGTGTTGTGTATGGAGTGTCTATCCCAATATATTGATTAGTTGGTCAGCAGTGAGGCTTTGCGCATTGTCTCTCTGAGTAAGAGAGGCCCCAAGTTATTGCATCTTTTCTTTGCGGATGATTTTATTCTCTTTAGTGAGACTTCAAATAGTCAGGTGCAGGTTATCAAGACGGTGCTCGTAGAGTTCTGCGAGAGTTATGGGCATAAAATCAGCATGTCTAAAACCCGTATCTTCTTCTCTCATAACATCGCTGATAGTGACGCTCACCATATTAGCTTGACCTTTGGGTTTCAGGTTTCCAAGAATCTAGGTAATTACCTAAGCGTCCCTCTTTTTCACGACAGGGTAACCAAGGACACCTACAGGTATATTTTGGAGAATGTGCGGGAGAAGCTATTTGGTTGGAAAACTAATAGCTTGTGTAACGCCCAAAACGTGGGCATTTTTGTAATTTCCTCATTTATTATTTATTTACCCTAAAAAATAAATAAATAAAAAAAAGCAGTGTGGTGGCGCAGAGAACGGGAGAAGAAGAAGGAAGCAAAGTCGCGAGCGGGAAGAGATGGGTTTTCGTGATTTTTGGAGAATCTTCAGTGCGGGGATGCTGATCTAAACAGCTTCGCTCCACTATAAAGAGCGAAACTCGAAACAGAGAAAGGAGAAATCCCTGAGGCCAAAGGGGCGTAGAGAGAGGGAGGAGGCCGAGAAGAGAGAGAGAGCTCATCTTCTCCATGGATTCTTCGCAAGATACTCAGAAAAATCCCCTCAAATTGTTCTTCTCATTCTTTATTTTCCTTCTACTCGCAGAACCAATTACTGGCCTCTACTTATTGACATAAGCACAAATATCACCCATCTCTGTGTTTTCTTCAGCGCGACTCCAAGCAGCTCAGGCCATCTCTATCACAGAAGAAGCCCTCTCTCTTCTGTCCTTAATTTCCGAGCGGCAATCATATACATTGCAGCTTATCATCACCGAGACCCAACCTTCACCGCACAGTTGATCGGAGCCGAGTCACCAAAACACGAACCTCACCGGAGAGCCGCCGCACCTGAGAGCACTGCCGCCGGTAAGCTTCGGTTTTCCGTAATTTTTTGACCCCCCGAGGGCCCTAGGGTTGTTTTATCGCAAGGACCGATGCAAGTGTGGCCGAAAATGGCCAAATCGAGGCGAATCGCCGCCGCTTGCGGCGGCGCTGTCGCCGGAGCACGGCGGAGCCGCCGTGCCGGAATTGCGATATTGGCCAAAAAGGGGCCCTGGGCCTAATTTGGGATTTTTTGGAACACATGCAGGTACCAGTAGTGCGTTTCAGTTCCCCGGAAAAAATTCAGGAAAAATTAGGGACAGCCTGTAGGCACACTGTGAAGCCGTGTTCGGACTCCAAAACGAGTAAGGACCCCTCATCCTATTTTCTATTACGGTATTAAAGTTCAATAAATGATAAAACGGTATTTCATGAATCAACAGATGTGTGAAATAGTTTAAGGTCGCTAATGGAGCCCGAGTCTGGTGTGTTTGTCTGTTAGCTGTTGTTTGGCCTATTTTACGGCTTTAAATGCAGTATGAGGTCTGATGTTTTCATTTCATAGTTTCATGTGCATGTATTACTGTTTTATTGATTATAGGTTGAATGACTAAGAACCCGATGTTGTATGTTGTCTTGTTTGGCATAAATTACTAGTTTGCTTGTTTGTGTGTGAATTGATGATGCTGACTGAGGAAAAGGGGAATGAGAGGTTATGTAAATTGATAATTGTATACTGTGGTCAGCCTGACTAGATATCTTGGGAGATGGTGGACGGACCGGGTCCGTAGGGAACCCTACTGGGATTGTGGTCTCTTATACCGGACGAGGTATGGAGACCTTATGTGTTTTGGCGCCCATACCGGACGGGGTATAGGGACAACCCGTTTCACCCTCATACCGGACATGGTATTGAGGTTTATAGTTTTGGCGCCCATACTGGACGGGGTATGGGGACGACCCTGGAATCTGATTACAAATGTTAAGGGTTCACGGGTAGCGGGACCCCTATGGATCCCCATGGATACTAGTAGGCTGGTAAATGAGGAAAAATATGTTGTGTAATGATTGAATTGCAAAAGGTGTGATAAGTATTATGTTATACAGCTCATATGATTTCATGATAATTATAATGTTACTGCTTTCGTATATTGTTTTATGAATTTCACCGAGGTAAGTGGATAGTAAAGGTTTTTATGTTAATAAACGAGTTTATTGTAAATTATGCTCCATTGGTCTTTTTGTGTTTTCTACCCACCTTTACCTCCGTGACGGTGAGATAGTGTGATGTCTTTACTGGGCTGGTGTAGCTCATTCCTTATTTAATCATTTCAGATCAGGAAGACATTGTTCCCGAGCCCGTTCCGCAGGAAGACGGCGAAGGGGACGCCTGAAGACTCCGTAATTATATTTATAGCTTTTATTTTCGAGTCTCTCTTTTAGTTAGTTTGTTCTTTTATACTTTGAGCACGTTTTTGGTTTTAGTGTAAGGGATGTTAATCAAATTTTTATTCCGCTTCCGCATGTGACCTTTTTAATACACATAATTCATTTCAAGGCTACGGGGGCCGTTACAGCTTGTCCATGGCTGGTCGCCTAACTTTAGCCAAATGTCCTTATGGCTATCCTTGCCTACATTATGCAGACCGCTACCCTCCTCAGTTCATTCTGTGATCAGATCGATCGGCTCGTGCAGGATTTCATATGGGGCTCATCTAGTGGTGCGAGAAAATTGAGCCTTATCAGCTAAAATAATATGTGCCGGCTTACCACTCATGGGGGAGGTGGTATTCTGAGTCTCGAAACCCTCAATAAAGCTTTTCTCATGAAGTGAGTTTTAATATTATCACAAAACTATAACTCCTTTGGGTCAAAATCCTATGTCATAAGTATAAGTGAGATTTTTATTATAAGGCAATCAACAACTTAGGTTTCTGCTCTCATATATGGAGGAAGTTAAATGGTCCCTGGGAGGATCTGCAGTATGGGTTGGCTTGATACGTCGGTGATGGCATTGTAGTGAGATTTTGGGACGATAACTGACTGAGAGGATGTGCAGTATCGATGACACCCACGGGTCCCAAAAAGTTAAGGATCTGGTGATTCCGTATGGTCAATAGGATTGGAACCATTTGTAGAGCATGCTCCTGACTAGGGTACTCCTGTAGCTAGTTGCTGTCAGTGTCCCACATGATGGTATCGAGGCAGATGTACAGTATTGGGGACTCTCGCTGGATGATAAGTTTTCTGTTAAATCCGCTTACAATATGATTTCTGACATCTTTTCTCTTTTTACAGATAATAGGTGGAATTTAGCGTGGAAGTGGCTATGTGCACAATGTATTCACCATTTTCTTTGGCTGGTCTGCAAAAAGGATTGCTTACTAGCAAGAAACGGGTCCGTAGACACGTGACAGATGATCCAATTTATACTGTATATGGGCTAGGCATTGAGGACATGAACAATATTTTGAGGGAGTGTTATCAGGCGAAGGGCCTTTTAGCGAAAGATTATTCCACAAACCGTTGTCCACAAATTTTTCAGCACGTCATTCGATGATTGGGTTTGCGCTAACCTGCATAACAAGCATAGTTGATGCTTTTCTTTATAAGATTGGAAGATTGTGTTTGACATCACTTGCTGGTTACTTTGGAAACAACGAAATGCTTTCATATTCGATGGGAGTCCTCTTAGTTTGGAGGAATTGAGACATGAGGTGTTCAGAATGACTGAGTACACTTTTCAAGCCTTTAATTTCAGGTCTACCATCTCTGGCTGTCACATTCAGAAGCAGGAGAAGATCATCAGTTGGACACTGCCTCCCTAGAATTGGATCAAGATCAACACGGATGAGGCCCTTCGTGAAAGTAGTGGCATGGCCTGTGCTGGTACACTAGGTAGGGATAACAATGGTTAGTGGCTTGGGAGACAACTCAGGAATATTGGTGTTTGCTCCATCCTCCAGGCGGAACTGTGTGGGACCTTGGATGACCTCGATTTAGCTCAAAACCTGGGCTCGCACCATATTATCTTGGAGATGGATAATACTTTTATCATCTAGGTTCTTAATAAAGTTCTCAACAATGATGTGATCCCGGTTAACGTGAATTCTAATATCATCTTGGCTATTAAGATTTGACTCATAAAAGATTGGACTATTAAGATATAATATGTCTATCGGGAAGGAAATTGGTATGTGGATTATTTGGTAAATCAGGTTTTTGACTGGCCATTTGGACCACATTCCCTACAACAATTTCATTTGAAAATTTTGAACATCATTAAAAAGGATTTCGTCGAGGTCTCCTGACTTAAAATGTGTAACATCTAGACGTGCTTTTTTTTTTCGTTTTTTTCTGTGTTTGTTTCTCCATTTGTATATATAAAAAAAAGAAATACTCGTATATGAGTGAGAAAAAAATATTTATTACGAATATGATATAGATATGGAAAACAAGTACTAAAATATATGGATAGTGAACAGAGTGATTTTCTCAAAATATAGGTTATAAGATGGATATTGAGTGATAGTTCTATAAAATTATGTAATTAAATTTAAAATAATTTTGCCTATGAGACAAATATGAATAGAAGTTTTTTCTCTCTGAGCCCGGTTCGAGAGGATGCACCCCACTCCATAGACGAACCGTGGCAATCACCAGGCACGAAACTGAAAGTATGGATGTTTTTGAAAATTAAATTGAAAGAATGGGTTTTGTTGAAAAAACAAAATTTTTAAGCTTGGGCAACACGGCGATTCCTACATACAAAGAGGCTCAGTGGAGTACACCAAAGTCAAAACCTCTGTTCGTCGCTCCTATTAAATACGAAATTTTGATTAGTTTTCAATAGCATCAGATTTGATTTTGTTCCGACAAAAAAACAAACGCACCAATGGGTATACTCAGAAGCGGATTCTCATTCACGGTGGGCACAATCTTTGGCGTTTACCTTGCTCAGAACTACAACGTCCCCAACATCAGGAAGCTAGCGAACAGCGGTCTCGTGATAGCCAAGCACATCGAAGAAAACTATCGCAAGCCCAAGAAGAGGGACGATGATTTTGATTAGCTGCTGCGCTTATTTGATTTTCAGGTCCCGTTTATGTACTTTCCTCATGATTTGTTTGTTCGATTGGTGTACTTCACTTTGGAGATCTTAATGAGAAACTTTAGCAATTAGTTTTGGACATTTTTCCGACTCTTGATTTGTTTCTCTTGTATATGTATGTATGTGTTGTTTAAATTCGCGTTTGTTGTTTGGAAAACTACGCAGAAAAGAAATTTAATGGAAACATTGTTTATAGCTGTGATTCCGGAGGAGCATTCATATTGGTCTTAAGTAATGCCTTTCTCTACATCCTTATTGATGTCTTCAAAGGAAAACTCTAAATTGAAGCTACTATTTTCAGTACTAAGGCTGTTGAATCGATAATCGATAAAGCGCAATTACCTTCCCTGCCAAGTAGTTTTGATTTCATCTCGTGCTTCTTTCATTGAGCTCTGTTTTTAGATTTACGCGAATTTAAACAGTCGACTCGAAATCATAAGGTAGGTGTATCTGTAGGTATGTCATGTTCAATCTTGGTTAATACCTAGACTTTGGTGAAAAGAGCTAATCTGGGCTGAAAAGTTTCCTTTTTTAACCAAACATGATGAGAATAAAGCTGATAACCCCAACTCTGATTGGATTAGTACCGAATTTCTGATGCAACTGAAACTACTTAAATATAGGAGGGGAGTAATGCATGTAAGTTTGTCAATCCCGTTACTGATAAATGAATATTAGCATATTTTCATATAATTTTGGATGGATATACTTAACTGTGCACTAGCAAATTCGAGATTACAACTATAACATTGCAGATGAATCCTCTCTAGTTGCTAATGAAGTGATAGATGATGTTAAAAGATCTAAGGGAAATGCCCGAAACTTTATTATTTTTAACTACACTTACAAGTTTGCAATTTACTCTGACATTTCTGATGAATCTCAGGATTCCAGGCTTGGCACACATGGTTCTTGGCGTGTCCCTTTACCAATTTTACAAAAAGATCGGGAACTGTTTATTTGGACTTCGATTTTTCTTGTTTTCCTTCTCTATTTTGAGGATCTTCTATCCTCTACAAGTAATGTACTATTTTCTTCTCTCTTTACAATAATTTTTCTTTTGTATCCAAAAACAGAAGTGTGAAATTAAGCAGTTATTTGCTGGAAATCTATAAATTTGGAATCAAAAGAAGATTCTCTCCAATATCTGACACTAGGATGGATGACAGCAAATTTGGTTTATTTTATTTTCTAGAGGTAGACAAACCTGATTTATTTATTTTGTGATGCTCTATCTCACACTTGGTTAACTTGATCATAAGAATTACATGTTTCTAGTTTAGTGTTATAGTTCATTAGTTGTTTGGTGTGCTTAGCTTAAAGCCTTTGATTTCTGATGCTAGGAGTGTGATGGCACTCTTAGTTTATATATTTTCTAGTGCTCTGACCTCACACTTGGTTTTCTGGATCATAAAAATTGTGTTCCTAATGTTATATGAATTCATTATTAATTTGGTTTGCTTGGTTTAAAGGCTTTGAATTTCCTGATTGTCAATCTCGAAAAGCTCCTTGATTGCCTGAACCCTTGTTATGGAGCTCAGTTATAATGGCGCATCAACCAAGAAAAAAGAAAAGAAAATTCCGTGCTTACTGCTTAATATCATTAATGTTTCCTTCCTTGGATATCATCAGGAGCCATTACTTAATTACCATCTCTCATTATCAAGATATAAATGCGTTGGCACTCCCAGATTTGACGAGATTTCCCGAAAACTGTATGCTTTATTTGCAATATTACACACTTTTCCCTAAAAAATATTGTGTTTTAAAATTCAATTGAACTTCACTTTCTGACATAACTCCATGGAATAACATGTATACTGATTACTCACTTTTGAAGTGTGCCAAGTGATGGAGAATCTGCTATGAGTTTGGCTACTTAGTATCAGGTATAAGGCCTCTCTATCATGTCATTGCTTCTGTCTTATCATAGTTGTTTTGCCTGCCACCTCTTCATGTTTTTCATATATGTTTGGTTGAATTGATTTGGTGGCATATAACAGATTTTCCTGTTCTATGATATGTCTATTTATAGTTTCTGAATGAGACGTTATTCTTTATGCAATAATAGAATTAATTGAAAAACTACACTAGAAAAGCTGAAACTATTTTCTACAAGCTTCATGCTAGATTTGTTTTACAAAATTCTCTTGGTCGTGTACAACATAAACTGCTTCTCTTTTTCTCGGTTTCAGGGTTGTCAAAATTTACTCTACACTTAGGCACAAGTCACTTATACCAGATGAGAACATATCACTCTTTGATGGTAAACTATAGGACTGAGGGTTCTCCAGCTTATATGACAAACGCCACTGATCAATGCAGGCCATCTGATCAGGATCCAACTTGGGAAATGTCTTCTGCTCTAAAATTTTCAGAATCTTATCAGTTTCACCCAGATGGAAAGCTGCATGTCTTACACTTTCTTCCCTCTCTTCAATGGAGGTGGTCAAACACTTGTTGTATATAACTCTCTGTAGATTACTCAAACAAGCGCTGATAATATGAGACATCATGATAACAAGTCCTTCAAACAAGCTTTTACTCATCTGGTAATTTCTGCTTTCTTCATTTAGCAAAAGAGTTTTACTTATTCTATACATGGAGTTTGCAGCCAGTACCTTAATGGGCCATTTTGAAGCGCTTTCTTTCCAACATCCATTTACAGTTGGCCTATTGAATTCTAAAAGCCTATTCTTTGCATTGTCAGCAAGCTCTTCGAGTGTGTCCTTTGGACTTCTCCTTTGGAGGGCCAGTTTGTGGAGGTCAACATCAAGCCATTTGTGATAGAGATCGACTCCCAGCCACACAAAATCTGCAGTCCTTGTGATGTTTCTCAATTTTCTTCCAGTGTCCAAGTTCTTCTCAACAAGTCTGATATACGTGAGTCCTTCATTGACACCAAGTAGTAACTGCTTCTTCAAGTAGGGGTTGATGTCTGGAAGGGCAACTGCAATGCTTGTGAGCGTCACCACAGGGAGAGCCCAGCAATTTGGTGGTTCTTCAGAATCTAGGGAGGGAACCTCATCACTGTCAAATTCCTTAATTCCTTGGAATCCGTTTGAAAAAGCTGCTTTTTCCAGTAGTTTTATGAGATGTTTTGGCTGTTTCCTTTTCCCCATCCTTATTCGGTGATCTGTAGCATCTCGGTTGTTCTTCATCATCAACTCAACCAGTTGATCTTCACCTTCAAGATGCAAAACAAAACGACCGAGATCCAACTTTGTGCTAGTAGATGACTCTGAACCGGATTCATTGTTCATAATGCTGTTTTGGGGTATGAATTTCTTGAGCTGTTTGCAAAAGTCAAAGCATACCAAGATCTGGGCTATCATGCATATTGAAATGCACGTGATCAACTTGCTTACTATCACGATTCCAGACTGGATAGCAATACACAAGTCCAGAATTAGATTTTTGGTTTCATGGACAAGTTTCCTGCAATGACGATTTTGGATTCGTAAACCTAATGACTTCTCTTTCATTTCAACCAGGCTCTGGATCCAGTAGTGTTCTACTTTGAGTTTTACTTTGCGGATTTGTTTCCCTCTACTTGCACACCTGAAATTTATGGCTAGCAGCCATCGAAGTGCTGGAGCTATGGTACCCACTACTACTGCAATTGTCTGTATAATAAGAACTACTGTAGTTGACCACTTGTAATCAGATTCACCGATACAAAATTTGAATGAATCACGCACCAAGTAAGATCTAAGCATGGCTTCTGCTAAAGTTATGGCAGCCAGGAGGCTGAATGCACCTGAGGCAATGCATGTCACCGAACGTCCCATAACAAACTGAGGGCTGCTGGTATGAGCCATCATACAATATTCCATTAGGTTTTTTTTGAGTTTCTCAAGTGCTATGGTGTCTGTTTCGCTTAAGCTTTCTTTCTGGGCTATTTCATGTTTTTTCTTGTACTTCTTCTCTAGATAATGCTTTGTAGTTGGAACAGGTAAAGCGGAAAAACTGAGGATCAAAAGCATCACAAGCATGATAAACATGATAAAAGCGTGTTCTTTCCAGAAAATGTAAATGACTCCAGTTCCTAATTGAATGCCAACATTGACGACAACGGTAATAACAAGTATTCCCAGAGCTATAATGTTTGAGAAAAGTTCTGTATTCTCCATGATACCAAGAGAAGGCATGGAATTACCCATTATTGTGCAGATAAAAACAGAGCTGCTTAGTTTTGCCAGTTGATCCTGGCAGCGAGGCATGGAGGTATTCAGATCCACTGAGAGCTTGATTGCGACTCCAATTAAAGTCAGAGAAACGGAATTAAGAGAGAAGAACTTACAAGGAAACCAGAGCTTCCTATGGTGGAAGCAATGGATGACGTCTGCGCCCATTGCCGCTGCACAGGTCAGAGACGCTGCTGCTACGTAGATGCCAATCCATGGCATAGGCTCACTGAATTTCGTGTCATCAAGATTTCCATTGATGTTGCAGCCAATCCTACCCATCCCGTGACTCAATTCTTCCTGGAAGATACTTTGTAAAGGTGAAGGGTTTTGCTTGATTGTCTCCTAAAATTATCTATTTGATCACTTTTTGTTTCTGGTTGAACTCCAAACGCTGTCGTCATCATTGACTTTGAACTATCTTTCTTCAGGCTGTTGCCAAAGTACCGTTTTGACACGAGCTTGGATTGAAGTTAAATGGATGCGAACCACTTTTGGTATTTGTGGAAAGGATAAGATTGGTTTTTTAAGCTCGTAAGGAGCAGTTAATAGGGTTTTGTTGTCTAGTGACAGAGGTCAAGGCAAGGCATTATTGAAGTTTAGACCACATCGTGTCCGTGGTCCACCTTGATGTTTTGTGAGTTTATTTAGTTCAATAGTCCAAATAGTGGGGATGATAATTTTATTCAAAACCAATGGAGACGCAGCAAGGAATCTCCCAGTATTGGGGAACGTCATCATTGCAGACAATGAGGGGAAAAGGAGTTCTCATCCCATTCGGTCCCTCCTGATTATCTACTTTAAATATTTGGGGGGAGTTTGTTTATGTTATTATTTTAAAAAATAAAAATATATAATGGTATGATTTGAGTATAGAAACTAGGGGAGTGCAATCCAAGTTTTTCTGGAATCTTATTTGTAGTACAATGGTTGACCCAAAGATATCCTCATTCATGCCTTCAAAACCCCAAAAAAAAAAAAAAAAGGAAAAGAAAAATGATAATGGAATAAGACTCAAAACCCTTTCCAGCTTAATTAAATCCTTCCAAGTCCGAAGTTCATCCTTCGCTGTCCCGGCAATGACCTAAAACATATCATAAGCTACAAACCACAACTTACACAACGCAGCGACATAAGAAGTATTTGGTTACATGTCTCCTCCCACCTTCTTGCACAAGCAATACCAATTCACCAGTATCTTTCCCCTCATTTTAAGCTTTAGTAATAGTAAATATGCATTTTCTGCTTGCAGTTGATCATGATTCTTAATTAAGAACACTGATTTTAGCATGCTCAATAACTCTTCATATTATTAAGATTTCGTGTGATCTCCACATATAACTCCTCCTTCTTCTAACCCTCACATAAAACTTCTTTAACGTATATATTTTTAGAACTAGTTATAACATAAATATTCGAGAATTTAGCTCCCAGTTTTCATCCTTCCATCCAACCGTGTAAACAAAAACCAATATTTTCCAGTCTCTAGTTTTTCATTTTACTCATTCCTGAAACTTGTTTAATACCCATTTGCGTGAAACCTGTTTATAACATTCAAAAAATATTAAATAATAGGAAGAAATTTATGACTGACTATTTCTAAATATTTTTTTTTTAACTTTGTACTAAATGGAAAAAATTGTGTTTTGAAATTATTTTTTAATGTCAGTCCATTAATTTTTATCATTTTGAGAAAAATCAATTTTGAACTTATTTTATGAGAATTTAAAGACCTTTTTTTTTTTAAAAAAAAAATGAAAATTGAATTATAATGTAAACCATAATTTATAATCCTAATTGCGTACTCCCCACTAATTTTTATGACGAGGAATCTCCGCCTTGCTAAAAGTAAACCTAATTTCCAAATTAAGTTTCAGAAACAAATTCCTTAATCAAAAAGAAAAGTTTCAGGAACAGAGGTCATTCTCTCTCGCAGCCATTGACATATGGTGTCTAGTTTCCGTGAACTGGACTAGCAAGTGAAGCTGGGAGAAAGGAGGGATGGGAACGAGAACCAATTTTTATAAGAATTCCTCGCTTTGTTACAGAAAAGATGTCAGTCTCTCATCTGTGCTTCAAAACCTGAGAGGTACCTTTTCTATTTCTCGCAGCCTTTTGCAGTTTTCACCTGTTTGGCGTCTGATAAAATTTAGTAAACAAAAAGCGAAATCAACGGATATGATTCTTTTTTTCTCACAGAAAAAAACTTATTTCAGACAAGTATTAGTTTTCCTTTCTTCGGTTTATCGGTAGCCAAACGGAGAATTGCAGTTTTCTTGTTGTCTTTGAAGCGTTTCTATACTTTCTTTATAGCGTACAACATTGCCACTGGAAATGCTCCTCCAGCCGAGCAACAACCACCTCCTGCTGCCGAGCATCAGCCCAGCCCAAAACGACGCCGCGTGTCCAAACCACCGGCAAACGGCAGCCATGTAATGGAAGAGGATGATGGGCCTATGTCCCATCAAGATTATATCAACAAAAGAAGGCAACTAGTCCAGTTTATTTAATTTTAGTTATTGCAAATGCTACTTTGATTTGATCAATACGTTTTACTTACAATTTGATCTTAATATCTAGTGGTTTAATATGCTTTCTATGAGCAGAAAAGAATTGAGTTCGTCTCAGGCGTATGAGGAATTACCTGTTGATGTTTTGGTAAACTACAATTTGTTATTTATGTCCAAATTTAGATTCCAATATGCCGTCATCTCAGATAGTTGATTTCTATTTGTTGCAGGAAGCCCCCACTGCGGGTATAAAGTTAGTAGGTTATGAAAGTAAGTTCCACTTTGACTTCATCTATGTTTGTGTTATATCCTTCACTTTTTGACATGTAGTTCCACATAATTGAGTGCAGTTTGGATTATTCGTTTCAGCACGTTAAGATATTGATAATTAACTCTGTTTAGGACAACCTTGAATTTGACAATGATGCAGAACAGGATAAGCCGGATTCTCAACATCATAAGTTGCAGGTTTTTCTCAATAATATAGGAAAGAAAACTTGGACAGCAGGCATATAGATTTTCCGAGATTCATCAGGATTAACTTCAGCTTAGATTTTTTCATTATTATCTGCTTTATTTCCTAATTCTACCATTACAAATTTGCTGTTCTGCATTTTCCTTTTAGTATTAGAAGTATATTACAGCAGGTCTTTAGTTTCCTTATAGGATATTAGTATTAGGTCTCTAGTTTCCTTGTTACATTAGGAATTGGTGGTTTCTACTTTTAGGAAGAGTAAGTATTCTCCAGAAAGCAGTCTGTTCTAATCAGAGCATTAATAATCTTCTAGAGATTTTTCTTTATTTTTCCTAGAAAGTTTCTTGGTCTTGAAACAAAGTATGGCAAGTAGCTCAGTTCTGTGTTAGATTATATTTTTTGGGCTAAATAAAGTGAAAAATTGTTCCTCAAAAAATAAAATAAAATAAAACAAAGCAAGTGAATATGATAATTTTGGACTCTTGGTGCAAAAATGTTGTTGAAGCCAAAATTTTATTCTGTTCGGATGTAAGTTTTCTTTGTTTCTCTCAGTTCTTTCTATAATGTTAATAGCTCTTCCCTTTTATGTGTGCTTCATGTGCTTGTGTAGCTCAGAATACAATTATTAATTATGTCTGCACTATGAGATGGCTTGAAGGGTTTGAACTAGTTATTTTTATCATTAAAGTCTATGGGTGTGTCCTGTAAACTTGGAGATCTTTATTTCTATTTCTTCACGCAGTTTCAGGAGTAAGGAGCATTTGTTGCATTGGAAAGGTTCTATTTTGCAGGTCTATTGGTCCTTTTGTTGGAGAGAAATGCGAGAATTTTTAAAGTCTAATTTTCTTAATTATTTTAGAGAGAAGATATTTGTTGCCTCTCTTTGGGCAAAGATAACAGCTTCTTTAGGACATTATGCTGTTTATCCTACAAAAGGATTTGGATGTGATTTTGTGCTGACACAATCTGCATTCCTTATTTTTTTCTGTTTTTGTTCTCTTTTTCTTTTTGGAGGATAGGTTATCCTCCTTTGCCTGTAACTTCTCTATCTTCTTCTAATTAAAGTCTTCTTTTATTTTTTTGAGATAAATTAAAGTCTTCTTTTGTAAAACAAAAAAAAAGAAAACTCTGTTACTATAAGCTTTCACAAATATATGTTTGCTTTTTCAGTAAATTTTTGCTCACTGTAATATTTCATGATCACAATTAAATCTCAGGTGATCGAAGCGCTTCTTCAGAAAGTAAAGAAGAGGAGGATTCTCTAGATTATGGTGTGTTTTCGAATCTGTTTTGTCATAATAATAATAACAATTATTTTTTAAAGTCAGCTTTTGGTCTTTTGTTTGGAAGATTAATAACCATTTAATTGGTAAGTTGAGGAGTATTAGTTGCAGATGTGGCCAGCTTCTAGACTGATTTGCTTAATTTGCATCTTTTTGGTTCAGCAGAGCAAGTTAAGAGTAGGGATGAGCAACGTTTCCCTGTTCCAGGAGAACCTGTTTGTGTAATTTGTGGTAAATATGGAGAATATATTTGCAATGAGGTTGTACATGGGAGCTACATATTCAAAGTTTGATCATTTTATACCTACTTTCCATTTGCCTAATACCTTGCATATGATGCATGTTCTTTGATAGACTGATGATGATATCTGCAGCCTGGACTGCAAAGCTGAGCTTTTGAAAAGTCTTGAACCCACCAAGGTGCTTTTGCAGTTTGTATAGCATGGACAACATCCTTTTTTTTACCCCCTTTTTTTAGAGTTGTTCTCTATGTTTTATGGCTTTCTTATCCTTTCATGTTGTGAGTTTCCAGCCCCCCTTGGGAAAGCTTCATTCAGATACCGCTTCCTCTGGACTCAAGCGCGCCTTACCAATGTCTGAACTTGATGAGGACACTTGTAATTATAACAGCCATTATTTGTCCTTGGAAGGATCTAGTCTTTGTAGTTATAAATGGTACATTTCTTATCAAGTATCTTCTCTGTTGATTGTTATATGCACATGGACTATTCCTTTACGAGCTCATATTCGGATAGCCATAGAAATTTTTTCTTTTTCCCTTCAATTGTGCAAAAATGAGAAGAAAGAATAAAAACTAGGTGAGGGGAGATTAAAGTAATGGCTGGACATTATCTTCAATCTTAAGCTACCCTTTTTTGATCTTTTTTAATGAATCTTGTTCGCCAAGGTACCGGTCCCCAAGGTAGAACGACCCTTACACTTTTTCGTGACTGTCCTTATTTCGTTAAAAAATTTAATGGACCCATGCACAATAGTTTTTTCTTTTTGGGAGATGACAGAGGGCCAAAGAGACTTATTCTTAGATCAGGCAGCTTAAATGAGTGAAGTGTTTTTGATATTTATGCTCATGAAGCATCTGATAGTAAAAAATTTCCCCTCCTTTTGTTTTAAACTGTAAGCTAAGTATTTTTTATCTTCTAAATAATTTTAGTCACTTGATGTAGCACATTTTTTCTCTGTGTCCACTTTTTGGGATCTATTCGAAGCCTTTGGTAAAGATGACTGATTGGTGTCTCAAATGGCTGGTGTTGGGTTTGCGTGGAAATTGTGGAGTATGAGTGATTCATTTGATCTGAAAAGGAGAACTTTTGATCCAACCTTAAGTATTACCTAAATGGAATCCCAGTGCATCATCATACCTCTGTATTGTATTTGTTCTTTTTCTGTGTAAAACTTTCACCTCTCTATTCCATCTTTTCCATTTCATTTTTTCCTGATTATGGTCCTGGCATTGTAGTTGGAAATGTAATAGGCCTGGCCACCTTGCTGAAGACTGTCTTGTAATGACATCTAATCAGGTTCAATATTATTCTTCACCATTTCTTTTAATTACTCTTACTTTCCATTTCTAGACTCCATGATTGGAATTGATTGTAAGACCTGTAGTTGATCATTGGGATACCCATCTATCTAGGTGATTGTGGAGCAGAATCAGGGCAGTTCTATATCCAGTGATCTTCGTGGACTGTACAGAAGGTTAGGGATATAAATTTTAAATCTTATTTTCATTTGTAGTCGCATTTATTCTGCAACTATCATTAAAAAGGGTCTTTACAAAGGATAAGAGGAAATAATTTATGAATAAGTTTTGTTTCATTGTTTCCACATTGGAAATTGTGATCCTGTACTGCATGATTTTAATTACTCTGCTGTCTCATTGTTAACTTTGAAGGTACAGAAGTTGACTTCCTCCCTCCCCTTCTTTTCTTTGAGGTTGTAGTTTGTTTTAATCATTTTTAAGAATTTACCAAACATAAATACTATTTCAAAGTTCTTTCAAAAAAAAAATCCTATTTCAAAGTAGCGGCAATTAAATGAGAGCATGTAATAGAGGGACGAGGGTAATTTAGGGAATTGATTTTTGGGACCCAAAGTTCAAATTTCTTGATTTAATGTTCTGGTTTGACCAGAAAGTAGAGAAAAAACTTTCTCTTGATATATCTGTTTTCTATTGATAAATCTGAGTTTCAAGAGGCTGCATAGTTACAGTGACAGATCTGAGATATTGTTAGGGCGCGGGTTAAGATGAAATCCTAAATGAAGAGAGCTGATTGGTTGACAGATTTTGTACCCTTATGGCCTGTGATTGAATAGTAGTTACTCTTTAAGGGTCACAGAGAACTATTTAATCTAATAGAGTAGTTTCAGGGAATTGTTTAGACACTTTATTGATTCCAAGGGATGCATATACATATGTAGACGCACATATATATAGGCTAGCCTCAGCAACTAGCCTTCCTAAAAACTACAATCTGATAAGCTTCGTAATATGTTAAGATTAGTCCAAGGTAAACCTGCCTAATTCTTGATACTCATAAGATAATGTTGAAACTCGCAGAAGAAAGAATGGTTTTTCTTAATATTTCTTATATGGATCTTTACATGCATGCACACATACTAGAATTATACATTGTAAATAGCTACTTATGGTTAAAAAATTAAGAGAGAAATAACAAAGGGATTTAATATCTTAAATGAGAAGGATATCTATAATACAAAAGGAAAGTAGATTATTATATAATTTGGCAGTAGGGACGATCTTCAATCCTTCCCCGCAACAAATGCATGGCTTATAGGTCAATTTTTGGAGTTATCAGTTTTTTCCTACATCAAAGATATCTAGAGTTTGTCAAAATCCTTTTTATGGTTAGAACAAGGAATGATACTTTTATTTCTATTTCTTTCTGACAAGATTAAGTGGCTAAGGAACTGAGTGCAAAAACCTTTTATTGACTTGGCTACTGGAAGACCACTCAAAGCCTGTAGCTCACCTTCACTGTATAAGCATCCAAATTAGATTAATCAATTTGAGAATGAAACCCAAAAGCCTTCTCGATTTGGGATGGCAGGAAGATGACCTTGGGATTCATTGGGATTCGATTCTGGTTTTGACCTCATGAAGCACTTGTTAGCCATGTATCTATTTGTCTTCATGGAATTGTCTGCAGTGAGTATTATGCCCCAAGCAGGATCTGAGGCTAAAAGACCCATTTCTTCCTACATCACGTACTGCCACAAGGTAGATAAATTTGATCCATGAACACATCAACATAACCATACAAAATTTTCCTAATTTATCCCCTGATTTTATTATACTGCTTCGCAAAAATGAATAAAATATTGGTGGCTTAAGGGTCACTTTGTGCTGATTATTTCTTTTACAAGTAGAAGATGCATAATATGTCCTTGTGCTCTTGAAAATTTTATATTTACCCTATTGTTTACCAAATTCTCACCTATAGCTGTAAAATTAAGCTGCTAACACAAGAACTTGGTGCTCTGCCTTTGAAATATCTTTGCTGATTCTTTTAAATAATATATTTTCTGAAAATATGGCTTTACAATGAAAATGGCTTTGGGGATTCATGAATGAAAATGGTAGTCTCTTGTGGAGGGTGATAAGATCAAAATTTGGGACTGTAGATAGGGGGTGGTATATCAGGATCTCATCTAGACCCCATGGGAAGGGGATGTGGAAAAAAATATGCATGTCCAAAAATAAATTCCAGGATTGTATCAGCTGGAGGGTTCACATTAGGAATAGGATTAACTTCTGGCATGATACCTGGTTGGGGGGGGGGGGGTGGGGTTTCACTCAGAGAACAGTCCCTCCAGACCTATGCGATTATGAGGTACAAGAATATTTCAATTCATGAGTCTTATAGTGGCTTTGGGGGGCGGGGGAAAGGTGGAGTAGGGGAGGAGAGTGGGATGTAGAAATTATGAGAAATTTCAATGACGAGGTAAGTTAAAGATTATGAGACTCTCCTCCATATCTTTACTATAGCTGTAGTCAACGAGAGTAAAAATCAACCAATTTAGAAACTCAATACTAGAAGGCCTTTTCCGGTCAGATCTTTCTACAAATATTTTTTTAGAAGTGATGCTACAGGCATCAGTTTTCCTTGTCAACAAATCTAGAAGGTTAATACTCCACATAGAGTTGCTTTTTTTGCATGGGAGGTAGGTTGAGGGTGTATTCTTACTCTTTAACAAGTTGATCAGGAGGTGGAAAATATTGGTGAAGGAGTTTTTTATGCTGAAGGATGGTGGAGTCATGTAATCACATCCCTCTGTGATGTTCGTTTATGTATAAATTATGGACCCTTGCTTATGGACTTTTGGGCATCAATCGGGTGATGGCTGGTTTATGAAGAAAAGAATTTTGGGCACGGAAGGGTGTTAACGGAGTGAAGAAACATTTTAGTTTCGCTCCCTTATTATTCTTTGGTGGTGTGAAAAGAGAGAAATAGTAGAGCGTTTGGATAGAAGATGAATTTGATTGGGTAAAAGATAAATGGTTCTAGACCATGAGTATTTGTTTTTCTTTTTTAAAATACTAGACCTTGAGTTTTTTTATTATGGGTTATCCTCTTTATTCATTGAGAGATTTTGGAGACCTTATTAACCTATTGATCGACGTGTAAATACTTTTGTCTATGGATTTGCACTCCCTTGGTACTTATGAGTGAATCTTACCATACTATTTTTATTTAAAAAATAATATCTTTTCTGAATTTAACATAAATTGGCATTGTTGATAAGATGAAGAACTGGGAAGGTTAATTGGTATTATCTTTTTAGTTTCACATCAGATGGGCTTCTAATTTAGAGATTTTAGCACTCTTATTTGCATCTCTGTGCATCTGCAGGTGCCATCAGATGGGAAAAAACCTATCAGGTGCAACTTGCAATACATGCCGCAGCTCAATAAGTTTGGCCACATGCCTTGATTGTAATGTTGTACTTTGTGACGAGTAAGCAGTAGGAATTTTATATCTTTTTGGCTTATTAAATTTGATTATCTTCTTTTACGAATATCAATCCATTGTTACCATTCTTTTGCGGAGAAAGTTGTCATCATCTCTTTTGACTCTTGGAAATGACTAAAGACATAATATTCATACAAAAATTACCATTGTTCGCAACTCTTTATTTGTTTCAAGAAATAAACCACTTTTCCCTGAATTTGTTTCTCAGTTTGCTGAAATTAGATTTAAATACCAGTGGAACTTCCACAGACAAAAAACAAAGAAACGGCAGATGAAACTAGTTTTCATGGGAAAATGTCGATTATTGGATAATGAGATCTTGAGGTCCTGGTAGTTATTTTCCTTTTTGTCTACCATGATCATCTTTCATTTTGAGTAGTTCACTGGTGGAAGTTTTTGGTAGATACTGTATCCTTGTTGTGTTATTCGGATTTTTTAGAATATCTTGAAGTAAACTCACAAGAATACAAAGGACATGTTTGAAATACACCTAAGCTTCCTAGTTTTTCTTTCCCCTGATTTTATGGCATTTTAAACCGCATATTGAGAATAAATAGGATTTTCATTTTGAAGGCTAGGATGGGTCTTATGATGTCTGCTACCAAGAATGGGCAAGTTATTTTGTTACTACCGCTAGGGAATATATTGGTCATATGACTAATTTGTTTGTTTGTTTGTTTGTTTTTCTATTAACTATGAAAAGTAGATCTCTTGAATGTTTACCAATGAGCTTCTCCTCTTGGATATCCTAAAATTGCAGTGCAGGTCATTTGAATGAGCATATTAGGGTGCAACCATTACATCAGCAATATTACTCACACAAACTCAAACGGCTGGTAAGACTTGACTCTACTTTTTAAAATCAGGGACCATCTGGCGTATTTTTTATTAGATTATTAACTTAGGGTTATGTTATGAGTCCTCAACAGGATTATTCTGGTATGAGAGTGAAAGTGGTACCTTTAGCTCAAGTTTATAAAAGATCTTCTCATGCATAACATCAGACTCAAGTGTTTTATTTTTATCTAGAACTCAGTGTTAGTGTATAAGAATAACTGTCTCGAAGTAGTTATTTATGTTTGAAAAGTCAGTTTCTTGCCTTTTTGAAACTTACTGTTGTATGTTGAATAACTTCAGAAAATTGCTGTTCATAAGGGGTAGTTTAGTCCTTAAGATTAACAGTTGATTCATACTCTATAAGTTTGTAAAAGGCTGTTGTCATTTGAATACAGTGGATGAAGAAAATTTTCATCAAAATGTCTTAAGTACTCAACTTAAGGTGAACTTTGGGTTCTCTCTTAATGAGAGCTCTTGCATTTTATCATCTTAGGTCCTGTAGGAAGAAAAACAGTAAAAGATCTGGTTCTTCCTTGTCTGATTTCACTCTACAATGGCCTATAACTCAATCCAAGGCTTTGGTACATTCCAGGTTATTTATAGGTATAGTGTTTCTTATTTAGTTAGAAGTCTCGTGTAGTTGTTTTCCTCTTTACTGTTATAGAATAATAGGATATCTAGAAACTCTGTAAGTAGCTGGGTGCTACTCTGTTATTAACAATTATTTATGAATAAAATTATACAGATTATCTCATGCTTAGTGCTTGAGTGCCTAAAAACAATCATATGTTGGGTTGTGACTACAGTTGTGAGAACCCTGTGACTATGGTTCCATTTTCAATCTGTGATTGTGAATTACCAACTTCTGAGATTGCGTATTTGGCATTCTTCTCTTTTTCCTATCATTTCTAATATAATTCTGCTCTGCCACATATTTTTCTTTGAATTTCGGGAAGAAAGTCCTACTATGTTTTTTTTATGTGCATCTTGATTCAGTTTGATTGGTTCATATAAATGGCGTCAAATCAACATCTTACTGCACATTTCAGAAGTGCATTATCGATTACTAATGGGATGAAAACTTAATTTGATTATCTTATAACATGAAAATTAGTTCTTCCTAACATTTCAAAGATTGTGCTTATTCCTAGCATGGTAATTCATACTATTAAGTCTTTGAATTAATTAAAGTGGTTATTATCTGTGTATGATAGGTTTTGGGATTTGGTACCAATCACTACTGGAGTCATTGACCTTCTCATCTGGCATTTATATCCAGATTTGATATTTTTGTCCCCATTTGTTTGTCTAAGAGTAACGATATATCAAACAAGGGTTATAGTGCATGATGGACATACACCAAGATTGATTTTTGGTGGTCCTATTTTGGCTCTCTCAGTGAGCAGAGCAAGCTGTGTTATTTAGTTTAAATAACCATATATACGGCCTAGAAGAATTTCTTTATATTTTCTTTTTGTGCATTTGTGATCTCAGATGTGAATCTTTTTATTCACCCCCCATACTCAATATGTCAATTCTTTGGTATTTAGGTGAAATGCTGTAAATCAACTTGCAAGGTCACAGACATGAAGGATCTTTTGGTTTGCCAACACTGTTTCAATAAAGCTTTTGACAAGTTTTATGATATGTATACTGCAACATGGTATGTAATCTACATTCTTAAATCCTTTTTTAAATTTTTAATTCAACTTTATATTCTATTTCCTATGTCAGTCCATCAAGGATTTGTTGTAATGTTGTTTATTTAATGTATTTTTTATATATATATTTTTGGGACAGAATCTATGGCTTCTTTTTTTATGAAAAATCGTTATATAATATGTGAAATGAATGTGGACTACGAAATGTTGTAATCCTGTTTAATCCTGCTTTTTGAAGCTTGGTCAGAGAATGAAAGGGAAAGTAGTTTATTCAATTTTTAATACATTTCATCATTCTCACGTTCAAAAAGAGTTATCTGATTATTTGGAAGCATGATATACCCTTGGTGCTTCTACATTACACGTTATACAAGGCATTTATTAGGTATATGGCGAGACACCCAATAAGGTTTTACTTATTCCTTCCAAAAAAAAAAAAAACCTTATGGAGGTGTCTGGCCACGGAATTTACCGGATACTTCATTGAATTGTAGAGAATGTGATCTAAGGAGGTTTTTCTTTTGTTACTTTCAATTTAAGATATATAATGTGCTTGAAAACCTTTTGCAGTTTCAAACTAAACTTGAATTTTATCTGACTAACTTAAGGAAAGGAGCTGGAAGTAAAATCATCTGGGGATCAATTTGCTGTGAAGACCATTTTACTTGGTAAGTGCAGTAACATACCATCACTCTTGTAATACCTGTTTACCCGATCGATCAACCACTTTTGCTTATGACTGTCATTGCTCCAGGCACAGGATGAATTGTTTGAATGGGGATGCAGAAGACAGTGCGTATATTATTCCTAGAAATAACAAGAGAGACAAGAACCTTCAGCTCAGCGACTTTATTTTTTGACGGTTCCTAAATTGGATCTCGTAGGTCAATACTACCTTATTGACATTCATTTTAAGTTCTGATACTACCTTAGCACAATTGTCGATAAGATGTCTTTGCCCCCAACATTTAAAGTTGTGTGTAGGTAGATTGTGCTATTTCCAGACTCAGTATCTTGCACTAGTCGATTTTAAAATTATTTATTAAGGTGAGAGAGTCCAAATTCATATAAACCCCATACCAAAATCATGTGCATTAGATTTATGATAGTTATTTTACTACATAATAATCCACCACCACCACTGTAATTCCAACTTCACCACTTAGTAGTGCATGATTGCTGGTCCTAGAGGTGCTGAAACGTTACGTACATTAATGAGTTTAAGAGAAGTACACCATAAAATTAGTTATTAAGGTGGGATAGCCCAAATTTGTATGGAACCCACACTAAAGCCGGGTGCCTTTGGTGTAAGATCCCAATTACTTTATTACCAACGGTCATATTAGGCAACTAAATGCAGATCTAGATGTTGCCTGGTTAATTTTTACAATAAAAGCGATCATGTCTTAATAAAACCATGAAAGATTGAAGATTTCATACGAAAATTATGGATAAATTCGATTCTGCATTTATTTAAAAGTTATTAACTTTCAAAAATAATTTGTGTAATTGGACCTATGAGGTCTAATAAAATTATGAAAGTCTAAAGATTTCCTAGGAAAAATTTGGTAGGCATTAATAGTTGTTTAAAATTTTATAATTGTTGTCAGTATTGTTATAAATAAAAATATTTGTGGGTTAAAATTTTTAGGTTATATTTTTTAGTACCAAATTGTATATTTTTCTTTTAAATTAATAATAGTTAATTTTTTATAGATATTTTTTTTTTTGCAATCTACATAAAGCATATTGTGGAAATTATGCCAATTAAAATATAGAATTTTTCTAATAAAATAGCATTACGTAATGGTGGATTCTAATAGGGTTTAGTTTTTTTTATCAGTTTAATGTTTTTATTATTTTTTAAGACAGAGATTAATTTATTGACTAAAAAAGGACAATTTACCATTTACTTTAAATTTTGATATTATTATAACTTATTGAGTAATAGAAAATATTATTTGAATTTTCTTATCACATTAAAAAAAATAATATCACTTTATAAAAATATGTATATGCATATATATAAAACCTCCACCCCAGAGAAATAATAATTGAAAACCAAACCGGAAACTAGACAATCTGCCGTGCCGGTCGGCGTTGATTTCTCCATATTATCCTTTTCTTCTTTTCCTTCAAATCCATTTAGTTTTCCCGTACTTCGTTTCTTTCGAGTTAGAGCGCTGAGCCGCGATCGATTTGCAGGTTGAGCTTCGCGACTATCATCATCATCCATAAGTTACTTTAAACAAAGTAAGCTTCTTTTCTTATTAGGTTCGTTCAGATATTCTTCTGTATTTTTCTTGACTTCTTGGTAGGTTTATTTCTTCTTTTAACCAAATAGGGTTACTATCGACCCGAAACCCTAATTCTCACTTTCTCGCCTTATCTTTTTACTATCGACATTCTGCATTCTTCAATTAGATCGGTTCCTAGGTTTCCACTAAACGATAGAATAATAATTTTCAGGTGAATTGTAAATTCGATTGCTATGGGTGGCCATGGAGGACTCAACATTCTTCCGCAAAAGCGGTGGAACGTATACAACTACGAAAACAGAGAGAAAGTTCGGCGAGATGAGGAAGAAGCCGCAAAAGAAGAGCAGTTAAAGCGTGAGCAAGCCAGGAAGCGGGATGCTGAGTTTCGTCTAGAGCGTCTTCGGGCTGCCCGTGGCTTGGCTCCATTAACCCAACATCCGGATGCTGATAAGCAGTCGGCCGAATCGGAGATTAAGACAGGTCATATTAATCTTTTTGAAGGGAGTAAGATTTTTGACCCAATTAAAAGAGTAGAGAATGGAAGACAGGGCGAAAGAGATGAAAATAAGAGGAAAAAGATGAAGAAGGATGAGCAAAAAAATTGCCCTAGGGTTATAAACCCAGAGGACGAGAAGTATAGATTGGGATATGGAATTGCGGGAAAGGGAGTTAAGTTGCCATGGTACCTTGAAAAGCGCAGAGATGATATTGATAATGGGAGTGGAGATGATGGGTTGATGACAAGTGCGAAGGAGGATGGTAAGGAGAAGAAGAGTGGGAAGAAAACACTGGCAGAACTGAGGGAAGAACGGTTGAAAAGGGAGAAGAGGGAGAAGGAAAGACAAAGAGCATTGATAGCTGAGAAGAGCCGAAGAGATGGTGGTTTTTCTAGGAGGTGAATTTCAGTCAATTAACAATTCGATCTGCTTTTATGATGTATATTTCCTTCATATAGATTTGTTAATACAGTTATAATGCGTTTGAACCTTTTATATATTTCAAGGGAAAATTAAGAGTAAAGCATCTGATCTTCAAATTTTTTCTTTCTATTAGGGAGTATTGTAGTGGGTGCAATGAAACAGATAGGCGATGAATTTAACTTGAACAAATTTTTGAATGAGTTTGAAGCACTGATAAAAGGGAGTTTCCAATAAAATGGCTGATCATTTATTCATTCGTTAGAACCTTACTTTGACCAACTTTCCTAGACCCATTTATCTTTGAATCCTTTCCGGTATCATTTTGGTCGAAACTTAACCATTACCATTGTGTTCTTCTGGAAGTGCATGATTCAGAGTCTTGTCATGTTAAATTGATTCAGATACGGGAGACAGTGGCATATATTCAACTAGTTGTGGTGAACAAGTTTGCATTGGGTTTTTGGTGGTCCTTGTCTCATATAGTTACATATTTGTTGGATTTGATGACATTAATTGTTTTCCGGCTCCGTTGGCTAAGTGGTGTTCTCCCGACTGCAAATACTTTTCTGATGGGAGTTTTGAGAGGCACATTTAGTATTATTCTTGCTGCTGAGGTATTTAGAATCGGTGATGATTAGTGGCGACTTGATTATCGTGCGTGAATCTATTTAGCTTCTGGATCTCCTGAATGAATGAAATCATCACCAATTGTTGAAGTGGTTGAAATATTGAAAAATTATTTGATCTCCCGAGTGAATGAAAATTTTTTGTTCGTTAAGTTTTTTTTTTTTTTTTTTTTCCTTATTTTGTGTTGAGGGAAGGATTTCTTTTTCTCTCAACTAATTTTTTTCTAATAAAAAAAATATATAAAGCTGATCATGGGAGAACATATAATGTTGCTAGTTGAGTTTATAGTATTATGATGGAATCTCAAGATCTTTTGCAGCTTGGAGCAGGTAGAAATCTCCCACCCTTTGGGCGTGGCCGATCTTGGTATTACATTTTACTTTTTGATGTAATTACTTTTAATTCCAAAATTTATGTTTTGTTTTCTTGTTAAGGTAGCAAATATGGAAGGGTTTTTCTCCAGAGCTTTGTCCTCTAATCCATTTATTTAGGTTTAAATTAAACATTTCCAATTGAACTGTCATGTGTGTAACAAACAAACCCTCTTCAAAAATAAAATACTTGTCACTTCTATTTTTCACATTTTACCTTCCAATTGAATTGTTTGGTGTATACACACACACACACACAATTAGATGGGTTTTTCTTTTTCCTCATAACCAACAGGGCTGCTAAATCCACAGACATAACTTTCGCATTTTCGATTATGAATTTGAATGAGTGACCAAGTCAGTTGATTAATTTAAAAACATTTTCTTTTTCTTACCAAAATAAATAGTACAAAATGTTTGAATCAGTATATGTATATATATATATATATATATATGTGTGTGTGTGTTGGCGGCTCTTTTTTATTTATTAACATTTGATGGTAAGTTTGTTACATAAATTAATATTGTATGAATTTGCTCAAGAATTTTAACCACTTATATTCTATTCTTATCTTAATAATTTATTGACTAAAATAATAAATTGATCTCTACATTATTTTAAAATATCTAAATTAGCTTATTGTATAATTATTTTTTTATTTTAATATTGTAATTTTTTTAAAAAAAATTATTTCAGTCCCTACATGTTCTTTACTTAGAACAGTTCTTCATTTTGTAATAATTAATAAAAGACATATCAGACACACTACGATATTAGATATACGTAACATATATATACTACGTGTTAAATATAAATTTATATGACATTTCTATTAATATTATTAATAAAAATTAATGATCAGATGCTAAAATAACAAATTTTAAAAATATATATATGTGAAAAAATTTAAATATTTTAAAAATAATACAAGTAGTAACTTATTTATTAATCAATACATAATGCGGTGGGCATTAGATGAGAACATGAAGGCCACATTCAGAAGAAATGGGAGAACATCACATGGCTGCTGCCTGTAAACAGTATTTAAATTTACTGGTGATGTGGGAGAGAGTTGATCAATTCTTTTTATGTTTTTTTTTTTTTTTAATTTTCAGTTTTTAAATTGTATTAGCCCCATGAAAAACACTGACTAATCACATTGTTTAATGTTTTGAGGGATTATTGAAACAAGTAGATGGTGGATGTATACACATATATATATATATATGTGTGTGTGTGTGTGTACATGCTGGCTGGGGTTTCATAAGAGAAGTGTTTGCAAATAAATGGATGATCAAACATTAAGGAGAAAACTGATTTTGATGGGGAAGCAGAGTCTCATGTATTTTGAGGATTTGACCCTTCCTTCGGTACGTTTGCTTCTTCTTTTCACTCCATTTTCAAATTAAACACAAGTTGTTACCCTTCCTACTTATTTTACACTGTTAATATCATTTTACTTTTATAACTTAATTTAACTTTTGACTTATTATTACGTATGCATGAAACTGTAAATATGTTCCTTCTTAAGAATATATGTTCTTCATTTTTTGAAGTTTTATCGTTATGGCAGGTTCAAATAATTGTAGTAAACATAAACATAAGATGCGCTCAATGTCATCACAGAGCCTCTCAAATTATATCCAAAATGAAAGGTAACAATTTTTTATTCTTTTCAACTTTCATTGGTTTCTATACAATGGTGGCTGAAATCCATAAGTGTTTTAAACACTAGATTTTGTTTGCAAAAAATTAAATCCTTCCTACAGAATCTAATGGTAAAGAGCATAGAAATTGTTAACTGAAGTTGATTTTTTTTTTTTATGAGATGTTAAATGTATTGAGTCAATAAATATAGCAAGAATTAAATTTTAACAAGATGTATATAAACCCTATTTCACAGGATTAACAGAGTATATTGTGGATGTCCCCCAACAAACAAGTGATTGCAAAAGGGTGACTTTGGATTCAGAGGGGCGAATAGCAATTGCCATGATTTTCAGCAAGCACCCGCCGAAAGCAATTCTCATTCATGGAGATTCTTCCCCTCGTCTTTCTTACCCAAATGCTTCTCCAAGCAAATTGATTGATTGATTTAATTATTTTCTCGAATTAAAAAACACCATTTATTTACCAAAGCAACCATGAAAAACCCAGGAAAACAATAACAGAGAAGGTCAAATCCACAACTGCAGAGCAGTATACACGCTAGCTTTTGTATGTTCACTCAACCACATCTTTCCTTTCTTCCTTGTTAAGTTTAGGTACTACCACTTTTAACACCCCATTCTTCATCTCCGCTTTCATCTGGTCGATCTTGTAGGTATTGGGAGGGAGGTCCAGCCTGCTTGAGTATCTTCTTGCATTCTCTTCCTCATCCTCCTCTTATTCCTCTTTCTTGCTTTCCCCTCTGATGATCAGCGTGTTCTGCTCCACTGATACTCTGACATCGTCTTTCCCCAATCCCGGCATGTCGATTCGCATGTATAAGGCGTCATCCTCCTCTCTCACGTCCCATCCTCGCCTACTCGGCGCTCCCATTGCCACTCCTCCAGGGAAGAATGAGGTATCCATGAACTGATCGACCAGGTTCAGGACCTGACTCGGGCTCCTCGTCAGTGAAAATGGATCGAACACATCTATTACCATTTTACCCACAAGTTTATGACAAGTTAAGTGAATAAACTGACAAAACGGTCTTACGAACCTGGAAATATGCTGGGACGGCGATCAGGACGACGGTCGACGGCGACTGACAAATCATCACCGCCAGAGGGTGAGCGGAGAGGCTTGATGAGAGGGGAGAAGAGAGCAGAGAAGACGGTGGGTCTCTTGATCAGTGTCGTTGCCGACGTCATTGATTTATGTGGGTTTCAGGTGATTTGAGGTAGGGGTTGTATGGATGTTTGACGGTGGAGAAACGAGGTGACGCGTCGGAGTGTAAGGGAACAAGCGTTGTGTTAGAAATAAGGGCAATTTGTATGAAGATAAAAATAAAGAGTGGAGGAAGAGAATGGAGTATGCGCTCTTACTTGATATATAATTAATTAATTCATAAGTTGTTGATTTTATTTAATACAAAATTAGTATTAATTATTAATTATTAATTATACAGAATGTCGAATTTGCTTTTCCATAAATTTTCTCTTATGATTAAATAAGAAAACTGTCGTATTAACTTCCAACAGGATTGGAGCTTGTGAAAATTTCTACAAACTCAAAACAAATTCTCAGTAAAAATTAAAAATTAACAACCTGAAAGTTACATTTCCAAAGATTTATGTGAATTATTAATAAATTCCTGCTATCATCACTCTCAAGAATTAAAACAGATATCTCTTTTTTTTTCCTTTTGAAGAAAAAAATGGGGGTTTTAAAATTACTCTCATGTTGCAGAAAGAATGCATGTTAGCAAAAGCATTAGCTAGCAGCTACACAACTGTTACCCACACAATCAAGTTTTGCTAATTCCATACGCTAACGTCTAAGAGCTCAGCTCCTTCATTCTTTTTTTCCCTTCCACCATCATTCTCTAATTAAGGACGAAGAGGAAAGTAGATCCAAAATGTGCCAACAGACCTTTCAATGCCCCAAGTTTATGACTTCACCAGGTAACCCAAGAAGACGCCGACCAGGCCAATAAGGATGACAAACATCAATGACAAACCGCCATTACCTTTTTTCCCTCCGCACTTCAATAGTTCCTACAAATTGCAATTTTGTTACATAAACAGTTCCTGGCCCAACATTATTAGAATGCAATAAAAAAAGGCATATGAATTTTCACGAATAATACAGCAATTAACCAAATATTGTTCAAAATCTCACTGCTCAGCTCATTCTCCCTCCTTTAATTCAGATAAACAGAAGAAAAAAAAAAAAAAAAAGTTAATTCTACAGCCACTTCACTGATGGACCTGAGCCTAGCACAACTCATTTACACCCACAAAACTAATTTCAACAAAAGGAAACAAACAGCTTGAATCTCTAAGTAAAGGGAACAGGGAATAATCACTCTGAAGAACTCAAAGGGCATAGCCCTTCATCGGATACCCAGAGAATAAATTAAGGTCCTGAAAAGGCAATTACACAAAGCATCCCCTCTGAAATTGTTCCTTTAAGTAAAGTATAGCGCTACAGGCTTAACATATTCCCTACAGAGCTCAGAAGCAATCAACCTAACTATCACCCTATATTTCTTGTTATTTCTTCTTTATTTGCTTAAATCTTCAACATGACATTGGCAAGTCACGGTCATGATACCAAAGGAGGTTAAAACCTCATAACATGCATTCAGCACTCACTTGACCAAATTATCCCCTTAAAAGGGGGGACAAACAAAAAATTGAAGAAAAAAGTTTCCGAGCTGTCCAAGATTTTGAGATAATAGAAATCAAGTTTTATATGAGATCTATGTTTTCCAAGACATCTAGCATCCTTTATAATATAATATAGACCAAAATCATCAAAGCCAATCTTTTTGCAGGGCTTGCAAATAAATAGTAATAAAGATAAACTACAGGTACATCTCTAGATTTTGGGTTCAATCATAATTTTGTTTATGAGTTCTTAAATGGTCAACTAGTCCTTAATTGATAAATATTTGTTTCCTTTCAGTCCAGCTTTTAAACAAGTATCAAGGTTGCTTAACTTTACCAGCAGATGACTACTAAATCATACATCTCTTATTGATAAATCACTAAGATCACTGATAATAAATATAAGCAGTTCTTCTCTTTTGTGTTCCAAATTGACCAATAGATTTTTAAGGCAAATTAGAGAAAACAGCTAGTGTATTTTTGAAAAATCACATCCCTGCAAACTTCGCACTCTGCAGATCTCTTTTATTTTTATTATTTTTGAAACAGCACATAAACAGAACTAAGTTAATTGTTTTAGAAACTTATGGACTGGATAATGATTATACCAAAACTCCGAGATGTGCATGTAATTAACTTGGCGATAATTTGGAAAGGTAAGTAAAAATCTGATTTCTTACCAGTTCCTGACGAAGGTTGTTATTTTGTCGAAGCACATTATTTTTTTCCTCAGTCAACTTCATAATCAGAAGTCTTGCCTGCAAACCAAGTATTACAAAGGAGTATTGTTTACTACCGTTTCATAAGCTCTATTACAACAGATTATAGAATGCATAACCAAGTATGACCGAGCAGCAGGCACCACATGACACAGATACTAACTAAAAGGTTCACATAAACGAAATAGCCAATCATGAGTGTGAAAAAAATGCGAAAATACAGAAAACAGGAAACCAGCTGCTGGATTAGTTCATCACAAATACTGAACACCACCATTAGAGGATATAATCTTAAAATGTTCTTCATAGACTGCAATGAAGCTATTGAGTAAATTAATGACACTGGCTTAGAAACAGATGCTACTTGTTATCTTGAATCCTTGATTGTTGTTCTGCAGCACTATCCCCTGAGGAAGCAGATCTCAACACAAAAAGCTCCACAATAACTTACCGAAACTGGAAGAGATATATAAAAGAACTCTGGCACATAAGGTTTGTGTTTAAGCAAGTATTTGTCCATTTTCCACACTATATTTGCTACAGTTAATTGTAAAAGAAATAACATTCCAGACTTCCTAATAATTAGAATGCAGTCAGCGCCTCCATAAATTTCCATTTCTCAGTGAGGAAGAACAGTTTGAATTTTATAAATGGTATACTAGGAGCAGATAG